ACTTAAAATAAATAATGAGATGTCTAAAACCATTACTATCTAAATGTTTTTCTACTTAATACAGATTAGAACGTCTTTGCTTAATCATAAAATGTAGCTGTTGTTTAATGGTTATAATAATAATAATAACAATAACAGCGTTAATTGTATGCGCTTAAAACTGTTGAAGGCTGACATTATATTTTCCTAGTAATATGCTCCCCTATCAGTCCGTAAACAACGTTCATCTAATGTCTGACAATCTGATTCTAATCAAATCAGTTTAGTAGAGTTAGGTGATACATTCACTTTGATTTAGCGATCATTTCATAATGCCCGTGTGACTGTATTGCAAAGTTGAAGAGATTCGATATCTAGTGAACATTTGCGCATAAGATAACTTCGTATCATTTGAAGCTAATTATCACGGTATCCTGCTCCATTGTATGCATCGTAAAACTTTCAAGGTGATCATTAGAAAACAACATTTATCGGCTTATTTCTTCTTTAAACTTTTGAACAGTAACATTTTACCAAAATGTGGAATGAAAAGGGCTTTAGGTTATGGTGAACAACATTTATCTCTACTTCTTGAGTGAGCATATGTCGTCACGTTATGAAACATGTTTCTAGGCTATTTGAATACATTGGAATGCCTCCGAATGGCTCATGTCTTATACCATCAATTTAGGAGTGTACTGTAGTGAGTGAGTCTCAGTTTTATCCTTGACTAACTAATCGCTGCCTGCTAAATAATACACATCTATGTTAGTTAGGTCATATTTGATGTATTCACAAGAAATTACTCTCGAAAAAGAAATGCATTCATTTGTCTAAGTCAGTTTTGTATTTCCGTTGATTGACAAGAGGTGGCCCAGTGCACAAAGCTTTGGCGTTTGAATTAATGCGTGCTGGGATCGAGTCTCGGTGGGAACACCATCACTCACTCAATAATGCAGGTTCATTCATCTGACGAGTTCCAAATAGAACGAAATGCACATCTTAGATTCCACTACTAGTCACCATCTATCAAATAAGAATAGTATTTATTTAAAGGCTGATTGTTCTGTCTTCTGACATTACTTCAGATGGAAGGACGCTCTTGTGCCAGAAACCTTTTTTGTTCTTTACAGGTGTGTCGTTACTCAACTATATTATCCACCAGTATAGTCGATGAACACTCAGTTTAATGCGTAATTTATTTATGCGTCATAAAAATTTCCTAAACCAGTTTAAACAAAATGATATTTAGGATTAGAACATCTTAATGAATCTTTCCGATCACTTAATGCTATATTTATGTCATATCTCTTCATTTGTTTTATTTATTTATTTATTTTGATTACAGCTTGATGCCACACCGTATTTTCAGTACAAGTATGGAATTTTCAGCATGGATATCGCTAGCCCAAATTTTGCAGGCCGACCATAGATATCGGGTGTGCGTCAGCAGGGGATCGAACCCCGGACCATGTGCATGGTCGGCGAGAGTCCTAACCACTGTGCCACCGACGCACACATGGTGAGATGAGAAATCATTCGGTCGTGCATAATATCATTACCTGAAAATTCCTACTGAAGTTAAAAGCTTCTGACTGCAAATTGTCTTCACCTGTATTCTATGTAATATTTCATCAGTAAGAATCAGTTTGACTGGAGTTGAAATAGTAATATGTTATACAGTGGAATCACTGCCCCAGAGAACCTTCTGTGAAAGAAACTATTTCAGTTGCTTACTGTATTACTGAAATTTGATCACTCAGAAGTTCTGCGACTTTTAACCGGTACACATACTTGAAAGTCTAACTTTTTTCTAAGCTTGTGACATTTCTTTCATTATTATTACTTTGAACTAAGAAACAACGGTATAGTGAACCAATGAGTTACATTTTTTTTGCTTTTAATCTCTCTATAAGACAAAAAATAGTAGTGATTTTAACGATAATCAGAAATCTGACTCTTATTTACATCAAGGTGAGTTATATGCTCATTTCGTGTGACAAATAATAAAAACTATTGTTATTAGATCGTTGGAGGTAATCGGCAGGAAGCCTTCAAGTCTAGGTTTCGTGTTTGTTGGCACTCACCAGTCAGCAAGGCGTATCTGCAGTCCCTTCTGAGATTCAAACCCGTGTCACCCAGTGCTGCAGTCAAAGACGTTACCACCAAGCTATCCGGGCTCCGACTGACCTCCTGTAGGACTGTATTAGATACTTTTTAACTGGACACTAACTAGTGTCCACCTAGGTCCAAGGTTTCCTACCGATTGCCTTCAACCATCCTGAGTGTATCGTGATGATGCGCCACCTAGTTTGATGGTGACCACATTGCAAACTTGACTGATAGAATTCAGTCTGCAGTAAACAAAAGACTAGATACACGGCACTAGTTAGTGTCAAATCAAAAAATAGCAAAAATTCTATTACTAGAAAGCATAATAATATTCTTCAATTGAGTAAAGTCCATTTCTGAATATTAAGCCTAATGACACTAAGAAATCAATCAGAATAGCTTGTTAACAATGCTACTTAGGCATGAAACCTCAATCCTATCCTTTTTTTAAATTCATATATAAATATTTCCCACAGTTATGTTTGATCACTGTAGGTCTACGGATAGTAAAACTTCTAATAACAACAAAAATCAGTTTTCCCCTCATTTGAATACATGAAGGCAAATCTTATCTGCCTTCAATACATTTCCCCCTTATTATAAAATAATTCTCAAAGTGACTGTCGACAAATACTTTACGAAATCGAATTGGATTTTTCATCAATCCTTATCACTTTCAAAAAGATTACAAATTTGAATAATTGGTGCATCTTTCATAATAACTGTTGACAAGGACAGTCAGTTGTACTAGACTGAATAACCAAGGAAGAGAGTTTGTACAAATTCAGCCTTACAGAGAGACAGAATGGCAATAGTTGTTTCAACTTTTAAATTAACAATGTCTAAGTAAGAACTTTCCTGCACTACTTTTGACGCTCCCATTCAAGTAATTTTTGACGAACAACTGTGAAATTCTAACATATTGTAATATTACATTCTATTAATCTGTAGCTGATCATCACATAAAGTGGAAAAGCAGTTGTTTGCTATTGAAAATCACCGATATTCACTTACGAAAGTTAATGCCTGTGATAAAATCTCTTCAACCCTGAAAACTTTGCGTCGATTAATATTGGTTGAAAACCATTCTCTTTATCAATAGTCTTAATGATATTAGATAGTCTGAGGCAATCGGCAGGAAGCCTTGCATATAGGTTTCGTGGTAGTTGGCACTCGTTAGCAAGACATATCTGCAGCCTTGAGGGAACTCATGTCCCTTCTAATATTCGGACTCGCGTCACCCAGTGCCGCTTGCAGTCAGAGACGTTACCACTGAGCTATTCGGGCTCGCGACTAACCTGCTGTAGGACTGTAGTGGGTACTTTGAGTTCCTTCAAGGTTGCAGATACGCCTTGCTGACTGGTGAGTGCCAACTACCACGATACCTAAGTCCAAGGCTTCCTGCCGATTGCCTCCAACTATCTAACATCATCAAATCAATGTGCACCGTGATGGTGAGCTACCTAGAATGGTGGCCACATTGCAAGCCTGACTGATAGAATTCATTCCGCACCAAAGAAAGGACTAGACACGTCACACTAGTTACTAGTGTCCAATCAAAGTATCAATAGTTTTAGTTTAATATTTTTTAAGAAGCTCTTCAGTTTGCGAAACTAAAGATCAGATAAAGTTGACTAAATAATTATGTTACAATCTGAAATTCTAATTTAATAGAATACTGAATTATATAGGCCTCAATTAATTCTGCGTATCAATTATGTTAAATTAAATGTTCAGCAAACTGAACTCTTCCTATTGTATCAGGTTTATGAAAACTTTCATTTGACAGTAACAATGGTCATTGTGCTTACTCAATTAAGAAAGTTTTTTTTATACATTGCAAGATGTAACTGAAGCGTACAAATAAAAACAATTAAAATCATAAACAAATACCTGATATGAATTCCACTTGGAAGAATAAACATATCAGCGTCATCTACTATGAAAAATTTTCCTTATAAACGTGAATACAGTTTCCAAGTTTGCAGATAACTCCTACACATCTATTCATCATGTATCGCAAATTAAATTTACCGCTATCTTAACTAAACTGCTTTACTGAAAGGATGGTCACCTCTGATCGTCAACTCATCATCACTTCTGAGTTTCAGGATTTCATCATGAGCCGATTTCGGTCGGACAACCATTGGAAACCAGCAGTAGAGTACTGGACAGCTGTTTCTTCCTAATTTGGGACACTTCCGAAGTACGCAACTACCACATGGGTTTGGAATCCAGGACCTTCCGGCTACAAGGCGAGCTCGTAGACCAGTGGTCAGTCCATGAATTCTAGCTTCTGTCAATTCACGATATAGCGCGACCACCAGCCAATATCTTCAGCCAGTATCTGTACTCACTTCCGACCTGCACTACCTCACTGGTCAGGACTTCCTACTAGAACCACAAGTAACTACCTACATGAATAGGCCCAGTCTCTAGCGACCATCAGAGTTTACTTGCTATACACAAGAACACAGAAAGTCAGTTTTTGAAGTATCACGATTGACTACAAATTATATATATATATATATATATATATATATATATGCGAGTGAAGGTCCGAACTTACAGAAGTATTTCTTTCAATAATAAAACGCCTTTGTTTTCCAAAAATTATTGATTTTTATTGTGAAAAATACCATATGCGTATATAAACCATTGTACAAAATGTATTCATAGTATAATAGGTCCATTGGTTCATCATACCACAGCCGGAAAAAAAGGAAGCCGAAATGTTATGCAGCATAAAATATTAGTAAAACAAAAGATTAATAACACGCTGTATATGCTTGTTTTGAATAAGCGAGTGAAGTTATGCAGATCATTGTTGATGAAAAGAGATTTCTTCTGATGACATTGATACTACTCATTAAGAAATGAAAATCAACCAAGCAAACACTGCCAACATTTTATATTGTCTCCCTTGAATTAGTACAAATGTGGGCTGGAGTTTGCGAATTCGTCTCCGAATTACTGTATGCAGCATATACTACTGAATCTTGAAATGAACTGCAGGTTTGTATGTCTTCGTTTGATGTAGTTGAAGTGTTTCTGATTTTCTCTTTATGTCTCATAAATTGACGTTGCAGTCTAGGTAGACAATTACTGTTCGGATGATTGTTTAAAGTATGTTGTAACATGTCATATAGTTTACTGCAAGAATAACCACATGTTTCACACACACGTACTATTTCACGACGTTGATTAGGAGTGTAGTTCAACTGGATTTTATGTATTTTACGTCGATGACCCTCCAAAGAACAACGTTGACTGAATGAACGTTTGCATTCTGGACAAACATATGGACGCACCACTAATAATTTTTATGTTGTACAAGTAAAGAAAAAAATATGAAATACATTAAACCAAAATAACAGAAAATGAAGCATGGTTTAAGATAAAATTTAAAATAGGATTATATCAGTTTAACTAGGACGGTTTCTTGTCGAGTCAATACCTAATGCCAAAATCAAGAAGTACTTTCTTCCTGTTCTAGAACTGACTATCAATTATTGTGGATTCTATGTTAAACAGAGTAGAACTTAAGTATTGGGGAAGTCGTTGCAACATTTCTGAAAGTGATATCAACATAAAGCAAAGTGATAATGATATTGGGGTGATGCTGTTGATTCACCCTAAGTGTTATTGTGAGTTACAAGAGTCTTAGATGAATTGTTTTTCATACTTTCCCGTTATGTATGACACATTAATTTCAAGAAAATATCGAAGTATGAACTATAACACAGGCAGCTTGTTTTCCACTATGAATAAAAAAAAACTGAATGTGAATAGACAGGATTTTGTAAAATTTATTTGAAACAATCAATATGAGTGAAATCCACTTTTATCTTCAACTTTCAAACAGTAGCATGCAATCTAACCTCCATTACAAAAAGAAATAATAATATGACTTACATGTGTGTTTACGAGTATGACGTTTCATATCATACTTATCATTGAAACCTTTGAGACATTGAACACAGAGATTGAATTTACTTGCACTGTGTGACAACAAGTGTTGTTGCATTGGTCGTAAACGTCTTGTTGTACGATTGCATCCTTTGCACAAATAAGTATTATTATCTAATTTGACACCTGTATTATTAAAACCAAAAAAAAAAGAAAATTAGAAATGCCTGTTTTGAATTGTGTGTAAACAGTTAAAATATGCCATTATTATTATTATTATTACTATTATTGTTCACGCCGTATAAAAATGTTCATTTCAGCATTGATTGAAGTGTCTGTCATCAGAATGGTCAATTAATACATACATCACGTCACATAATCAAATAACCTGAAAAGGAGTACCATGGTACACACAAATACACGTTCATGTATTAGGTAATGCAAAATATGATGATTATTCTACAACCTCTCTATCCCAGTTGTCGTCACAAGGAAACGATTTGATACTAATAACGCAATGGGTAAATCACACTTATTGAGGATAAGTTATGAAAAACAAAGACTGGTAGTCAACAAGAGACCGTAAGTCAAGGTCAACTGCCTCAGCTAAGCGGTAAATATCTGAAACCATCATACTGATAAATTATCATAACCATAAAGTGAAACGAAAAAAAACACTCCACTAACTCTGAATACTAAACAGTCTTTTACTATAGAGTGTATAGTTATGAAGAAAATTTAAGTGCCTAAAAGTTTCAACAAGTTGAAATTTGAGTGGACGAATTATTTCTCCCCACCCCCATCCCATCCCACTCCGCATAAACGCCCTCCTTAATCCCCTTTTTGTCTTATATTCAGTAATGGATGTAAAAAGAAATTCGAGGTAGAAACAATGAAAAAAGTCGGACTTCTTATTATTTGAGATATTATTAAGCGTTATCCTTTCTTAATATTGATAAAGATTATAAAGATTTTTTGATTGCTATTAGAAAGTCAACATTTCTCTCACTAATTAATATTTCTTCTGCTCACTAGGTCTTTTTTAAAAAAAATAAACGAACCCAGTCTTGGTACAGAGTGGGAAGGGAAGACGAAAAAGATAATCTCACAGCATGTGAGATTGAAAAAAAAAAAAAACAGCACAAAATTGGCTGTTAGAAAAGAACCTAGAGGATGAATATTATTCATGGTAGTAGCAGTAGTTATATGATGCCTGACAATAAAATAACTTAGTTCACCGTAAAGCTTACTAATAGAAAGTAATGAAGTTGCCTCTTTTAAATATCCTGTTTAATTCTTATTGTCCATGACTTATATCCATTCTTGACTAATAAATACACCAAACATTTATCACCACAGACGTATACTGATCTGAACATGGAAGCGGTAGACTACAAAACCTCATATATTGCACATTACTATAAGTCGATCAATAAATTCATTAATACAGAAGTACATGGTGACATTTCTTGCCTGTAACAGGTAAATCAAGTGAGTGTGCATAACATTTGCTTCATGAGAAACGCGATTCTTGAATTAGGAGATGCGTTTTCTAGGGAATGATAGGCAGTCTTTTTTAACCGTTAATGAAGTTACTCTCATAGGCGTGAACAACTGGAAATGTCCATTGGGATAAGCAAATGTGTTCTCATTTGCACTCGATAAACAGTAATGTGGTTATAAATTTCACCAATTCATAAAGGTACATAAGAAACAAAAATATACCTACATAGTAAGGAAGTTAAGTGGATTAGTTGAACTTTTCTATCAACAGCGAAAGGATTGCGTATTGCAGCGCCATCGTTGACATACTTCAAACACGGATCATTACGTTCCAGCATCGCCTGTTTGAAATAAAATCGAAGAAGGAGAAGAAACAAGTAATATCAACAGTTTGCCTCACTTGTGATTAAACTGGGAGAAAATCAGATAAATTTAGAAAGCATTGCAGTCTTTCTTTTTGATGATACTTGCTAGTATGTTAATTATGCAATGGAGCTTTTCATAGAGACTTATTAAGTGTAATATGCATAGACCGGCAGAAAATTTAATTTCTTAAATCACATGGATTTCATCACAGTGTGGTAGCTTTAGAAGTCAGTTGTAAACTAAGTTTTAGCAATAGACAGTTAGAGTTCACATCAGCTGAGTTCTAGGATTTTAGTATTGGGTTGTCCAAGTAATAAATACCAAGTTATATAACTTAAAGAATCAACAGTATTCATCTGTGCTAAATTTCAGATATTATTTGTGTGCAAAATATTCATTGATGTAGTGAACACCGTTATTGTTGTATGCCTAAAATTATGATAACAATAATCACATCCAAGATATTTTGTTGTGCTAAACTAGTCCTAGCGACTATATAAAGTTGTAAATCCACTGGCCGCTTTCCTAGTAATTTATTTTTTATTTTTAGGTGACTAATATTTATTTTAGATCAGTTCAAAATCGCAAATTCCATATTCTACTTTTCATTGCTAGTCATCCTCACATCAATATGAAGATTTATTAATTGAACTTATCGGTTGAATATCCTTACTAATAACCGCAAGTACAAAAATAATGCTGAGCACTGTGTTAGCCTAATGATTCGGCGTCCACTGTAGTTACTAACTTAGTGATGTTTTATCAGATGTATGAGAGAAACAGTGAACTTCTTTACTGATTTAACTGTTTTGACGTTACATGGTATCATAAACTGAAGACATTAAAATGAATGGTTGAAAATTGAAAAACTGGGCACTGACAAAAATGACCGAGTAATGATAAATAAAAAAAGGGTTGAGTACACAGAATTGAAATAAAATCAGTCACTCGCATCGACGAAACTTTGAGATTAACTACTGATGATGATAATAAATTCGCCTAGGTGAAACCTGTTATACACTGATATCAACTGTAAAAACAATAAATACTACAGGCATGTAATAATGACTAAATCTGTATGATAAGTAAATCATTTACCTTAATTCTTTTCTTACTGTCGGATGGTTCCGGATAGTAGAGTATAATCGGTGTTTTTCCTAAATCACCACTTTTTCCTCTACATCTAATTTTTGTATCATCCTCACTTGATATCGATGAACAGCTCAGTGCATAAGTATTCACCGTTGACGACTGCCCATCCTCCATTTGTTTCAAATTATATCCAATGGAGTCTTCATTCGTTGTATCTTCTGAAATTCTCTGGTTAGTCATGTCAGTTATTTGTTCATATGTTGTTGGCTTTGTGAGATTCAGTTTTCTCGTTGACTTTTTAACCGGAGACATTCTTGTGACTGGGGTGTTTAAATCTGTCGATAACGATGGTGGACACGGGATCATGACGTTGCTCTCGACTTGTGGTACAATCCGTTCATTGGGTATTTGAGTATTATTGGAATTAGATAAAAGGGAATTCAACCCTAATGGATTTATCATCTGTAAATAATTAACTAGCAATTGATCGAATAGAGTTTTAGAGGTCACTGGATGTGTCATTGTCTGCATTTCAGCACAATTATCTGTTCCGTTGAGATTGTCGTAGCACTCTGAGTTAGTTGAAGACTGATTATTGAAGTCTTCGTTATTTCTCAATAAAGATTTGATATTAAACGAATTTCCAGATTGTCTATTGGTACTTGGATAATTTTTCCCTTGCGTCATTTGATTAGATGACGATAATGATGCATATACAAACATCCCGTATTTTTCAGGACTATTTGTGATTGTCTTAGTGTTGTTGCTGGTATTGTTACAGTCAGTATTTACATTTTTTGAAACTGATTTAAGACGTAAATCAAGAGGAGCTTGTGTATGATAATTTTCGATTTCACAAGTGTAATCTAGATCATTTGAGTGAACGGAATAATAACAGGAAATCGCTGAACATTTACTATTACAATAACAGGAAATCTCATTGTGTACAGATTGTGAGTCAGTTTTTATACTACACGTCTCCAAAAATTTCTTATTGTTTTGAATCTGTTTCAGTTGTTCACTAATAGTAACTGAGTTATTTTCAGATGTATTCAGTTGTTCCGAACTGTAGTCCTCCTGATTTTTCTCATGAAGTGTTTTCGACAGAATGTGACTGGCTCTTCTCGGTGTTGATGACGCTTGTACACAAGATTCAAGAACAGACTGATCCTTTATGGTTAAGTCTAGTCCACTATACGTTGCGTAGGCTTCATCCACCGGGGAATTTGTACGACTCATTTTTATGGGAATATCTGAAATAATCTATAATGAAATAATGTTTTCGTATTAGTAAATAGGGATAATATTGTCGTAGACTTAGTACAAACAAAAGATCCGATACATTTTGTAAACATGTCCGAGAACCACTTGACGGATTTGCATTGCGCAATTTCTAAATGTAACCATGGAAATAGTCATTTCCTTCCTGTGTAACATTTTAACTTTTAGTAAAACCCCGCGGACAAACTAAGAAGCGGGTGTTTATTGCCCTGACAATTGATTAAAGCATATCAACAAGAAATGCGATACAAAAGTGGATTATCTCACTGTCACCTCTGCATAAAACCAAATTTACTAGTAGTTATATAAAACATGCTGACTACAAGTCAGTCAACTAATCCGTTGAATAATTTCAGTTGAGATTATGTTCATGCAGCATGTTCATCACTTTTGATTGTGTCATGATCAAATACTCATCTGGATTAACAAGTAAATATTAGATAATCCTGTTTAAATAGAAATTAGCCCATATTTTTTTAAAGTCTGCTGTATGAAAGAAACGAAAAATACGATCACATGATGTCTCATAATAATGACTTCACAGGATCTATCTTCTACTTAGACCACGACGATTAAATGTATCTTGATGACAATTAATTAATTTAGTGACACAATATGAAATGAATTCATAAAATGGTCACTGGATAGCAAGTAATGTTCTCCTCTACACTTTGGTGCTGACATTTGTTACACTTGTGATACTTTATGCCATCGTGTTCTGTGTCCAAAGCCTGAGTTTAACTGTTAACAAGTAAAATATTTCACTCAGAAGTGACGCAGACTTATAAAGCTACTAAAATCTCAATATATGAAGTCTGTTCATCAATCTTGCTTATGAATAAAAAGCTATCATTGTAGCCTAGATGGCATTAGCAATATATACAATATATGTTACCCTAGAATGTATTACAGCAAGCCTACAGAGATCATTTTACTCTATTTGTGCAAGTCCATCGTTTAGATTCGGATGTTCAGAGGATGGATTAATGACTGAAAATGAAATCAATTATTCAAAATAATGATATCCAGTCCTCAATATTCGGTTGTCTTTTTTCTTATCAAATAAGCTGTGATTAACGACTGATACCTGCTTCAGCTTAAAACATCTTACTATGGCAACAACGACCTATTAAACTAATACAAAATATAGATGCGTCTATCAAGGAAATGAGTACGGTTTAGTAATCTTTAGTTAATCCTAGGGAATAGCGTTAGTACTGCGCACACGAGGGAGTATAAGTTTAACCTGAGGAGAAAGAATAAATAGCCAACTAATTGTTGAAATCAGCTCACCGCTATATCCCATCAACACACAAGATAACTCAGTAATGCGTTAATACACTGACCTTTTTGAAATTGCTATTTTTAGGGTAATAAGTGCATAATAAGGTCTACCAAATTAGTTTGATAATTAGGCTTACAAGAAATTACCATACCTAAAATGAGAAATTTATGGGTTATATATGAAGCCAGTTATTTTACTAAACAATTTAACATCAACTAACCGGTCGCCTATCAGAATTTATAAAAAATGTTATTACAAATCAACGATACTGTTATACGGAAGTAAGAAATCTTTATGGAATATTAAGATTAAAAAACGCAAAACGCTTTACGCATAACTTACAGCAGAATTCCGGTTATTATCAAATGAGCAACAGCCATAATGTATTTATATATATGTGTGTATATATGCGTTATTTTCATTCAGTACGTCAGAGAAAATTATTCAACCAATCAACATTTGAATGACAGAATATTAGGAACGAATCAACTGACCAATAATATGCTCAGATTTTATTGATTGGCTTATTCTGCGGTTTTATTTCGCATGAAATATGAAGTGCAGAAAAATTAAGGTGAACTCTTTTAAAACATACTACATACATGATATTAGCTCAGAGAGCCGAAAAGCGAATTGTGTGTAAACTATTGAAATATTATTATACTTTATCTGCTTGGACAGTACATCACTTTCATTGACATTTTTTCATGAGGCAAACTTACAGTCTAAAATGACTATTTTGCATTTATAAAGTGTTGGTTTCTTGGGATTTGATTCAATTTCATTAGTTATAGGACTGATCACTAGCTGACATCAGTTACAGAACCATTGGAAAACCTCCAGGGAGTACTACTGTACTACTGTTTCGTCCTGTCATTAACCATCATGTAATATTAGTTTTGTGGTTGTTTTTTGTTCGGCAATATTAACTGACAAGCTTGCTTGTGAACGCCATTATCACCATCTTAAAATTTTATGTTACAAACACCGCATTAGAGCTGACAATAAAAACCCTGAAATGTTATTTTATGATTGTTTAGTGTTGTTCAATCAAATTAACTGATCATATTGGCGATAAACATTCTTAAATATCATTTCATAACTTCTTGTATGATTATAGCTTCACTGTCACCACGCATACACATATCATAGCTTCCACTACCCAATACTGAGATATTATTTATTTTCAAGTATTGGTTTTGTAGGGATTTCTTTTATGTGTTTGACTGGATGGGGGATTTCATCATGAGCTGACATCAGTTAGAGAACCACTGGAAGACCTGGGAGTACTGGACAGTTGTTTCGTCCTAGTTTGGGACTCTTCAATAGTACGCACCTACCGGAGTTCGAACCCAGGACCTTCTGGTTACAAGGCGAGCTCGTAGAGCCACTGGGCCCCGATCCAATGTTGTCCATTTTCCTTTCTACTTCTTGATATTTTTTCGCGTTTTTTATTATTTTTGTTTTTTTGTTTTTGTTGTTGTTGTTGTTGTTTTCGTATTTATTTTTTGAAATACTCCTTTTAAACGTTTGATAAAATTAGATGCACTATTGTAGATATGTGCTGAAAATTCTACACTGTACCACTAGTACTGTTTCTGGGATCAAGCAATATAATTATATTTATTATTATTATATTTATTATTATTATTATTAGTTTAAGACTCTACAGAAGTACGCAGCCACTAGGGTTTGAACCGCAGGACCTTCCGATTACAAGGCAGGCTCATAGGCCGTTCAGCCATTGCGACCCGATCCAGTGGTCCATGAAGTCAGATTTCTGCCAGTTCGTGATACATATTTGGTGCATCTACCTCGCTGAGTTGATTACTATTCGTTGTAAGCAAAAATTTTCACTAATATTTTCACTGTGAATAAATAGAGTTAAAAAAAATTAAAAATAATTTTTTTAGGTGTGAAACGGCATCAAGGCTATGTGCCATCGATATCACTGAATACAGAATACAACTGTTACTTGACGACTTTGGTTGTATGGTTATGATTACCAAGAGTAGGACACTGCAAATACTCCTCTATTGTTTATTTCCATCTCACCACTATTAGGGAACGCTGTATAAAGCGGTCACAACCAGAGGTTGGGCTTTCCGAAAGATGAGGAAGCAAAATTAACTCTCACCTACCACTGAAGAGCCACACCTTTAAATAGCTCACGTTAGTTAGTATTAGTCTTCTAGAGCACATGTTATGTGACTCATCAGGTTCACTAGTGATTTACAACGATTCCTACAGTTCTTCTTCGTTTAACATACTCACTAGCCTAAATAATACTGATTCCGTGTATGACTTATGTGACAGACAGACTTATATGTACAAGATAAGTGAAATTTCTTGGCTAACATATTATCTTTCTTTCATGCACAATGAATAAATAAAAGGTGAAATAGCATTGCTTACTGCATAATATTTAATTTCAGTTTTGATTGATGGTGACTAATAGTCGAATCCTGGACATGCATTTCGTCCTATCCGGGATTCGTCAACCTGAACTCCCAAAGAGGGGTGGTATTCCCGCTAAGACTCGAACCCTGCACCCATGGTTTTCAATGTCAAAAGCACTATCTACTAAGTGACCAGGAGAACAATCACTCAATTTGAACTGCGGATGGCATCCAGTCGACAAGTTCTAAATAGGACGAAATGCACATCCTGGAGATTTCACTGCTAGTCAACATCAACCAAAAATAATCTCATACTAATCCTTAGATATCATCAAAGCATTCATACTAGCAGCTGACATGTGCACAAAGATCAAGTATACCGGTCCAACAAATTCAATCATCGTGTGAGTCGGTGGCACAGTGGTTACAACTCTCACCGACCATGCACATGGTCTGGGGTTCGATCCCCTGCCGGCGCACACCTGATATCAAAATTTTGTCTACCGATATCGTATGCTGAGAATTCCATACTTTTACCGAAAACCCGGTGAGGAATCAAGCTATAATCAAAAAAAAATTAAAGTAAATAAAAACGAATAAAACTTAACTCCTACACTTGAAAAAGTAAAATGTAAACATTACAGTATTTTTGTATGTGTCACGTCTAAGTAAAAAGAAAGGTAAGATCCAAAGTAACTAGTTTTCAGTAGGATTCTGAAATAATTTGCTTTGTGGTTGAATTATTACTGGTGGCGAAAGAGCAAAAAAGCTAATAACATTGATATAATTCTGTTTACCTACCTTCAATCGCATAATGAATACAAAGATATCTGTGTGAAGATTACCCAGTGATTATACTTAACAGTTTAACATTCCATAATATGGAATGAGTGAGTACCTTTTAATATTTTTGAAACTAATTTTTCAAATACCAAGGACCAGTCTGTTCACCAATAGCATAGAAATTCACTTTAAGCTTACTGCATTTGAATGTTACGTGTTCTGCTGGGTTTTTTGTCTCTCTATCTACTTTTTCGGTGGTGCGTCGGTGGTTCAGCGACACAAAGTCCGCCAACCATGCACATGGTCCGAAGTTCGATTCTCAGCCGACGCACTCCCAAACCCCATGAGGCCAGTAGTAAACCCAGCAGGGAGGAAATGTTGGGCGTGGGGCTAGCAACCGTATAAATGCAACCACTGTTACTGAAACCTCAAAGCTGGAAACTTGAAATCCCATATTCCACTCAGAAAGCAAAGGAATAAAAAGCGTATAC